GAATGCAAACTTTCTTGCTCAAAGAAAACAACGACTTGTTCCTGGTCAGGTTTGACTCCCATGCAATATGTTTTAAAGCACACAGCGTGCTAGATATATATTTGTTTACACTACGGCATTTCCTGTGAAACGGAAGTAACATTTGGGTCATGCGCACTCTGCGTACCAGTGAATCAAATACACCCAGATATACCAATGCACATGTTTCACAGTATACTTGCATTGATGTATCGCACTTAATTTATCAAGTTCTCTTGCCAATTTTACAAAGTAAACATACAAATATAGACTGAAACAAATTATTAATCAAATGGTTCATAATCAATTTATACATTTATTTAAAGGCTGGTTATAGAGAACCCCACGGAATCAAAAGACGCGGGTCTATACCAATGTGTGGCGACTAATATCTTTGGTACAATATACAGTGATGTGGCTAGTATCACGTTTGGAGGTAATTATGTGACTAATAGTATACCAATTTACGACAGTTTCTTTGTTATCTTGTCTACTTAAAGATTCTGTAACACACATTTTTATGGTATTATATCATAACGTTGATGCTCAAATGAAGATTTATCAATACTTTAAGGCAAAACGTCTTATTTGTAAAGATATTACCGAATTTACATTTCATGCAAATTAAAGGGAAGTAATTAGAATTATATTTTCGATAAAGTCTAAGCCAAATTTTCAATAAGAAAGGAATGCATATATTTTAATGATTACTTATAATGCGAATAAACATTTGCAGTTCATTTTTAATGAATGAATGATACCGTCCCAAGTTACCTTGGTCTTTTGTAAGTACAATTGTTATCTATGTCTCTGTTTATATAGATAAGCTAACATTTGCATTTTTTCAACTGGGATTGTCCATCTCCAGCTGATTGTGTTTAATTTACTAGAGTTTCATCAATTTTATCTGAAAAAATAGGCATTTTCTAGCCTAAATGATGTCAATATTTTGTAACTAAAACATATTCTGGTTATGTTGTAATTGCCTGTAATTTCGGCAGTTGTCCAGCGATTTACAGTTCATGGCACAAAAGCATGCGTGTAATGTGATGTTTGATCACGCGAGAATGTTGTAGAATTTACATGACCAACTGTCTAATTTCCTGCAATACAACCTTTTAACGTTCATTTACTTTCGAAAGATGTTCAAATCAAATGTTATACAATAATATTTTTAACGTCCTACAAAGATTAGTTATATGCAAGGGAGGTAATTGCTGAACATGCATCATTTGAATTACAGTATTGTTATTTTTCCTTAATTTAACTTTATAAAGTGCATGAATAAAAAACAATATATAACATTTTCTTCACAACATATTTCAGTACTGGAATATTTTAGTAATGTACAACGGGCACCTGTTGTTGCTTTGGAGTACCAGAGTGTGGCTATTGAATGTTCCCCACCACCATTTAAGCCAGGTAAACCAACGTGCTTATTTTTCTTTCTGCACATTTATACATATGATATAACATCATTACATAAATTTATTTAATTGACTGATATTCAAATTTGTGTATATATGTTTATATTTTAGGAATAAATTAAACTACGATGAATTAATACAAACAAACGTAGAAACCATAAATTTTGGTAGCACTGTTTGATCGGAAATGTATGCCTAAAAAATACTTGTAAAACATCTCTCGTTTGCAGGGCAACAAAATTGTATCAACCAAATATACATGTATAACACGTCAAGGAACTGTCTCGCTGTAAAAGCAAAACCTCACTGTCTGATAACTTATTGCATACAGTGTTTTTATTGTCTCGTATTTATCGTTATTTTTTTATTTAAGTAAATGATTGCAGTTTCATAGTTATAACTAACATTTTTTCAAAACAAAAGTCATAACGTTTATTTTGTTTGCTGCCAACAAGACTACAGCTGGAAACCTTGGAAAATCCGAATTAGAATACGCATTTGCAAATACATGTACTTTCATTTAAAAAGAAACTTTGAAAGGTTTTCAGCCAAATCTTGCTATGAAACAGGCCGACATAGATAAGAGATCTTTTTCCTACATTCCTTTGCATTCTGTCAAGACTGTTGGTGATAACATTAGTGCATGTAAGAGATATTTAAGGATATGTAATTAAGCGAGTTGACAACAAAATACTTATTACTTAAATAAATACTTTCATTAAAACTTGTTCATGTTCCAAAAACGGAGTATGATGCTTTACCGTTCTAGTTAATGGTTCACTGTTTATTCTTTTAGAAACTTTAAATTTTATCTTTTTATATTTTAGCTGTCAGTTACCAATGGTATAGAGGAGAAATCGCTGATTTTGTGCGACCAGAACTCAATCCGTATGTCTTCATCTCTAACAATGGAAAGCTTTATTTTTCTGAAGTCACTAAGAACGATGAGTCAGACTACCGGTGTATTGTCAAGCTTACTTCCGGTTCAGACAAAATGAGTACCGACCAGCCGCCAAGTCGTATTAGTCTCCCTATACCCTTAGATATCAGACATCAAGGTATGTTTAATGCTCCAGGTACTTGCAGCAATTGGTCGGAAGAACCGTATAAAAGTAATAGGTAGATTTAAATTCAACGTGCAAAAAAGACCATGAGCGTTTGGTCTGATTTAATCGAGACTTTGACCTTTTACATATTTTCCTAAAAATGTCATACCCCGTAGCATCATTACCATGATTCATGAATTTTTATTAAAACAATCGCAACACAATTTTGCTTTTTATGAACAAAAGTTACGTTGTATTTAGTATAACTTTCTTCTTATCACCATTTCAGTTGCTATGGGTAAAATCTCTTAGATATTGTCTATTGAAACAGTCAAATGAAATCAAATCCTTAATTCTATAATGATTATTTCTTCGCTTATAATAGATAAAAATATTGGAATTATATTATTGGCTTCATTTTGAATTATTATTTTTCAGTACCGGCTACGTGGGGTCCTGAAATTGCTGATGGATTTATTGCCTCGTTTCCAAATAAACCATTGCGTGGCAATACAGTAAAACTTGAGTGTCTTGCATATGGCACGTACGTTATATTTATGCAAAGAAGCTGGCTTTAATCACTTTTACTTTAATATTGCATTATCTGATCCAAAATACAAGTACATTGTATCTTACATTAATTATAAATACATATTTCCAGTATTATTAGAGTTGCCGGGGTTTTAAATAATAATACTGTCTTTACTAGCTTCTTTAATTTAAGTCTTTCGGTAGTAGTTGATTGGAGTCTCTTATAAATTTTATGCAGAAAAACAGCTTTAAGGATTACTATACCTGGTTCTATGACCCAAAACATAAAAATAACTGACTTTCTTTCGAAATAGTCCTGAAGATGTTTTGGGTTTTGTAATCTCATTGCTACTAAAACTTTTTTTCGGGTTTTATTTTAGATTACCGTTATATACGGACATGGTCATATTCCTCTTAGAATTTAACAAAGCAAATACAACGAATAAACATTCTCTCTCATGAATTTAGGTTACCGTTTACATACACTTGGTCAAGAAAAGACTTCCAGTTGCCCACAACGAGCACCCTTAGTGATCATAATAGAATACTCGAGATAGCCAATGTCCAGCTAGAGGACGCGGGAACTTACTACTGTACGGTGATGAGGGACACCGGGGCTCGAGTTCAGGCTGTCCACAACCTTGTTATTGAAGGTATATATTTTACTATGACTTGTTCAATTTCATATACATGGTTTTACATGATTCAACAGTTAAAATATATTGTAAAGTAATTCACCTAATGGTTATGAGGATATGCTTAAAATAAATTGGCTTACAACTTTTGCAGATTAAACATATGGTATGAAATAACATGTATGTACATTTTTACAGTTTAAGCGAGAAATGAAGGTATAATACAAATACGAAACGTAAGATATTCAATCATTCAATTATGAAAGAAAGTAAACGTACATGTATTGTTAAATCGAACATAAAACACATCTCCTTATCAATTGCATTTAGACAACTAAAATAAATTTGTATCAAAGTAAACGATTTATGTACAAGAAAATTATTCCAGTAATTCATATTTTGTTAATTTCAAATTGAAGCCCGACCTTACTTCCGATTCCCGTTGCCCGACCTGCACGCCGACACCGGAAGTCAACTAACTTGGCGGTGTGAGGCAAAAGCAATTCCGCTTGGGGTCTACATTTGGTATAAAAATGGTGAAATTTTACAATCAGTCCCTGGAGATTTTGAAGTAAAGAGGAACACTATAAAGTTTCAAGTAAGTTGCATCCACTTTGTTATTTTAACAAGACTTAGCAAGAATCGAATTACTTTACATCTTATAACTTCCTATGTTTTTGAAATAATATTGTTTATTTTTGTCCGTTCTTTTATTTAAAAAAGACATCACTAATTGATGTGAGTTAACACTACATATACACTGCAAGTTTGTAAGTTTAGATCCGGTATAAACTTAATTCTATACTATGAAAAGGAAACAATCTGTTCACCAATGATATAATGTATTATGCACAATTACTTCCCTTTACATTATACATTTGTGTGCATTGGATACTTCTTGTACATTAGAAGAATTTTGATTGATTTTTTAATAGACTTGAACCCGTTTTCCTTCTAGGATAAGGAATATAAAATAAGTTAGATTAAGTATTACATTTAAGAACTTTAAGAAAATCTATACTTAGTTTTTGCCTGTTTCATTAAATTTTGAGTTGTAATCTTTGTCTTGAATTTGCATTATAAACAATACTGTTAATCAGTTCAATTGATTTGTTTTTATTTTGTATTCCATTTAGAGTTTAGATTCAGCCCGGCATGCCGGAATGTACCAGTGTGTTGCCATGAACACCCATGGCTACTCATATAGTTCAGCACAACTTCGTGTACTCTGTAGGTTGTCTTTCATTTTTGTCTTCCGATAGATTATATTTTTTAAGATATTTGCTGTCATTATTTCTTCCATAAGTATCATCAACTTTTTGAAGATAAATTTTAAAGATATTTTGATGCACCATTTGCCTATGTTTGCATACGATCCCAATATTCAGATTATTATACTACTTTCAATTATATTTCAGCATTTAAACCATCCTTTCACAAACGCCCAAGAAATCCTAGCCAGACGGCAGCCATTAACGGTCATGTCACATTAGATTGTTCTCCAGAGGCTGCACCTTTCCCAGAATTTACATGGACCAGGTAGTCTTAAATCATTTATATGTATATGTTTCCTTCAAGTGCGGAATTGTATGATCTGCTTCTCTTTCTGTCCTATTTATTATTCTAATCACATTAAGACAAAAATCGGTGTTAGATACCGGGAAATTATATTTATTCATAATGCCAGATCTGATTCACGTATGAACTTTATAAGTCTGTATATCTGTTTAGCGACGGGTGACATGACATTTGGCCAAACCAATCTGCAAATTGGATATGAAATTAAATCCCATATCTAAGCATGATTAGTACAAAGCATTTTTAACAATAAAATATAAAATACAAACTAAATAGATAAATAAATAAATATATAAATAAATAAATAAAAAAAAAACTAAACTCCTTTGACAAATGTTAAACTTTGTTACTCCGTTGATACCAGTTCGTCTGGTTACACAGTCTGGTTTTCGACACATTTCTGATACATATGTTACTTAACAGAAATGGCGGCAATATTAATCCAACGCCGGATGATGGTTCGTCACGTGTTCGACTACTTTCAGACGGAAGTCTATTTATAGCACAAGTACAAACCGGTGATGTTGGGACGTACTGTTGTGTTGCAACAAATATTTATGGATCAGATACAAGTTGTGGCGAGCTTAAAGTAGTTTGTATGTTTAAACTATTTGGAAAACAAACTTTAAAATCTTGCATCTTTTTCTGTTGTGAACCAATAACGGTTGATATAAAAGAAACTTTGATGTAAATGCCTACATTTTTTATTATGTAACTACATCAATTACTGTGATAGGGCAATAAAAGCTTACAAACTATTAATATGTTAATATTCCTTCGCTTTGCTAAGAATATAAGTGTTCACAGGCTGGGTGGTCACGTGAATTTTGTGTAACTTTTTGTTACTATTTGATTTGAACAATTTGGACTCTGGTAAAAAAAACGAGGCTATGTGGGATGCAGTATGGATTTGATATGACTGTGGAAAGGAACAATGGAGCATCACGTGGTGTCATTTGTTACATTTTATATAATGCTGTTCGTATACTTTTCCAGCAGTGCAGGAATATGTTTTTTTTGTGAATTGTATCCTAAGTTTGTATTACAAAATAAAGTTTGCATTAAAAACTGGGTGCAAATATAACAGGAAAAGTAACTTATTTGTATATATCTGCTTGGATTATAGTATATACATTTTTATTGTTCAATAATAGATATATCGAAAATATAAACAGATACATTTTAAGTCTCGGGCACTGCCACTAGTGGTGACAGAATGTTATTTCAAACAAATGTCACGTGATCTCCCAATCTGCAAAAAGACTTAATGTTAGACTTCTGTGTTTTATTTATCAGTTTTAATTTTGCCTACTTCAACAGCTAACACAGTTATAAACATGCGGCCACAAAACACGCTTGGCAAGATTAACCAGACGTCCGTGTTACTTTGTGATGCGTCATTTCCGGGAAACGTTGACAGCATTTATGTTTGGCGATTCAATGGTCGCGAGATCAACCTTAGAAACAATCAACACCTTACACTGGTAACTATCAAAATTATCTTATATATCATTGTTATATCCTTATTTTCTTATTATCTATGTAGTTAAATAAATTGAGAAAGTCAAATTTGAAAATAAAACTGTTATTTCCTGAAAATTTTAGCTTTATAATTGTGAGACTCTGAACTTAATTAATTTTATTTTCTCTATAAACAATAGACCGAGGTATTTTGTTTCGTGCAGCATATACAAAATATCATTCTGATAAATGCATTCGCATTTAAAGGAAGGATTATCCAGGCTAAACTGTTTGTATATATCTATACATAGTATTCATTATTTGCTTTCACTTTATTGATATATAGCATTTAATTTATACATGTATATCGTACATGTACGTAATCTTAGATTCATTATATTGAATAACAAGAAAAACATGTTCTGATGAAACAATTGTCTTCCGTTATGCAAATTAGCTTAACACAGCCGCTGTTTATGCTCAAGTTCAATACAAACGCAATTCCTTTTAACTATGATGTTTTAAATATTTTGAGATTCAAAATTACGGTCATTTATATGTATCATTTAAAAGTACGCAGCTTTTACAATGCCTGTATCATTGCAGGGAACGACGCAATATCCGGGAGCTTTATATGTAAGATCAGCACGGTATGATAACACCGGCATGTACACGTGTGTTGCCAAGACAACGTATGATGCTGTCAATGCTTCCGCCGTGTTTACTGTTGAAGGTATACATCTTGCGCATGAATACATCAGTGCAGTGTAGATATTACAAAATGTTTTCACAAAGGACTATTTTCATACTAAATTAATATCAGTGGCTACATGTACATTGGATTTTCGCACTTGTTTTTCTATCACGAATTCAAATCAAATTTATATGCGGTTATACTGATTTTCCTGAGAATGGTTTTGTATGAAAGCAATTTGCCATGTTCTTTATGGATGATGATATTTTTTGTCTATTGAAGGACCACCAGGACCTCCTGCTGGTGTCAGGCTAGACAGAAATACAATTACATCAACTTCTGCAGTTGTAGTCTGGACAGAAGGGGAAACTCATGGTCGACCGACACAGTTCCATAACATAGAAGCATGCACCGAATATAACAACACGTGGGCTCCAGTGTATACATGTAATCAATTTTCTGAATTAAGTCAAAATCATAAAACTTTTAACTCAGTACAAGTTTTTATTCTTTAATTCTAGCACAAAAACAAGGACCACAGAGTATGAAACAGAATGCAATATTACATATGTATTATCTCAAGATTTATCTCAAATACGACTATTCCTGTCCTTGGCCATAAATACACTGAAAAGTTAATTAAATATTTTGCATGTACAGTTTTAAGCGGAATATGCGTTAAAATTGTCAATGTACATTCTTTTACCAAATATTTTGCCAATGATCCAATGTATATCTTTACAGACATACCTTACACGTTATCCCAGATAACTGGTACACAAAAACATGCAATAAATGTTGATGGTTTGAAATCTGGCAACAGTTACTATTTCCGAGTGAGAGCAGTGAACGCGTTTGGTGTTGGACAAGCCAGTAGAAGCTCAGGTAAATGTCTCCTAAAATAACTTATCTTGTTTAGAAAATCCACTGTTATCTTACAAGATAATTTACATTGTGACATTGATGCAATCGGAACTGTATTCGTTGATGACCTAAGTGAATATAACAAATTGTCTACTATCATTACATGACCTTTTGAAATTTCTTAGGTATCATAACACGCAAAGTAGGTTAAGAAGCTATCGATTGGCCTCCAGAGCCTGTAATATAATACTATTATAGGCAAAAACAAAATCTGGGATCCATATCCGTTTGTTTATTTCATTGTCGTAACATAAAACCCAAATAAAAAAAAATATAAAAGATTTGTTTGACAAATGTCATTTAGTTTAAAATGTCATCAATTTCTCATTTTAATAAAATTGAACATTGTGATTTCTGACGTTTAACGGGGTTGTCCTGGCTTTGCAATATCATGTGAATAATATGATTTTTATCTTAGTCATTTCTCAGAAACATATTTAACTCGTCACAGGTGTGTTATAAAGTTGCCCAGAGGTTCGTTCATGAATTCGGCTGAAGAGTTACACTAAATATTATATGAAATGGAAATATTCCATTGTTTGCTTTGTCTTTTTATGAAAGACGCACAATTTTTAAGTATGTAGCAGAGAAATTGGTAGTTTATTCAGTTTGAAAACAGTAAGGTAACATCTTTTACTTCTCTACAACGATAAAATACATCAAACATATTTGTGCAGGGAAATACTTGAGCATAAAATTTTAATACTTGTAACTAGAAATCTCAAATTAGTATAAATTTAAAAGTACTACTTTTATATCGTGATGAAACAGCCGTGTACAAAATACCCGGTGCACCGCCGTCAAAGTACCCAGATAATGTTGGAGGAGGAGGTGGTAGCGTGGGGATTCTTACCATCACGTGGACTGTAAGTATGAAAAATATCGTGCTACTTACATGATCTTAGGCATTCATCTTTCATTGCTTTTGCTTTTATTCATATCTGTTGTTTATGTTTTAATGCCATTAATGTTCAATAAATCTCTTAAAGATAATTTAAAGTATTAACAGTTGCTGGTGGTGGTGGTGATAGTTTTTACCCCTAAACACGACAGTAAGCCACATTTACAGAAACATAGTTCAGACACCGCATCGTCCCTGGGCATTCTGTCAAGCAGTTTACCAGTACTATGTGCCTTCACATTCGCAAGGAACTGAAACTTCTGTACATGCCAGAACAGAGGTCAAGTGCGAATGGCTGTAGAAAGGATTTCATGATCAACCAAAACGAAATTGACCTGCACCGTCCGGGAATCGAGCCCAAGTCGCCCATTCACAGTTCAACGCTCTACTTATTGGGCTAACCGAACAGCGTATTAACAGTTGTCCTTTCTTAATGTTAATATATGCATAAGACCCCGTCTGGTCTTTTAAATGTCCATTTTCTTGTCCTGTCACATAACGTCAAATAAACAAATAAAACATGTATGCTTTGTAATTACCACTTGGTACATAACATGTCAAAAGATTGCACTGGATCAATTTTCCTGTATATTTAAGCCTCTACCACCAGAAGATCAAGGAGGGCCTGGAATAGGTTATGTTGTATACTGGAGATTGGCAAACACTACTACAAAATTTAAAGAGGTAAATCGTTTATTTACTCTTATTAACGAAGAATAGTTTATTAAATCTTCTAATTTAGCTTTAAAAGTGCAATTTTATAAAACTATCATATTCATTTATATAGGTTATATATATCAATAAAAGGTGTAACTTTCCTTATTGCGCTACTGTAAACCATGATGATTAACTTTGTGTAATTTCCATTATTGCACTATTTTTACTCACAAAAAGTGTTTTCACTTACATCTAGTAAGTTAATAAAGTCCCCCTTTCCAACCATTTAAAACCTATATAGATATATTATAGCAAATTAAGAATTATGTACTGATTAAACAACACGCACATGTTCAATAAATAAACACTAAACAAATGTATTTGTATTTGTTTAGCTTGTTTTGATTGAAATGTTAACAAAAATGATAGAAAGTCCTTTTTGCATTATGTTTGCCATGTCTGTATGTCGTTTAAAAAGTGTATGAAAAACATGTAACCCGGTGTCATTTAAATATCTTATATTAAACTTCTTTATATTTTTTCTTTTTAATAATGATATATTTTCAAATTTTGATCGTTTTTCAGCCACTACTTTCATGATGCATCATACCCATTTTAATTATTATAATTACAATATTAAAACAGGATATTGTAAATGAAGACACTGGCACGTATGCAACTACAGTTGGTTCGGAATATTTCTACATGTTGTATGAAGTTAAAGTTTCAGCCTTCAACGAGTTTGGTGACGGCCCTGTATCACCTGAAGGTGTTTACATCTACTCTGCCGAGGAAAGTATGAACGTTATTTTGCCTCACGACAATTCTTACACACTTCACTCCATTCCCTTGATTCCTAATTCACAGTCTTTATATATAGCACAAAATGCTTCAAACGTTTAAAAATATTTTTATACTAATTTATGATCATGCATACTTGTTGTCTTAATGTAAAATAAAAGAATAATTTACAAATTTGCAGCATTTATGTTATAATAAAAATCAATAATATTTTTTCAATGACACGCAATGTTTAAAAAAAATTGATATGAGACCTTTGTATGAAAAGTGAATGAGATATCTTTATAAGATGTAGAATGTTTTACAGTTTACTTATTACCCAATATTACCCACAGTGCCAATAGGAGTTGCGAGAAACGTGTATGCCTTTGCCCACAACTGTACGGCGTTAGAGGTCACGTGGGATGTTATACCAAACGACAGGGAACATATGAGAGGGAAGCTGCTCGGATATCAAGTAATGTTTATGTGTTAATTAATTTGCATTCTGTTTAAATAAGTTCGTTGCATGCCCCGTTGCGCACCTTATCGATTGTCCTGTGTATTGTTTGGCTTCGTCCAATGAACTCTATCTCCCTTTCTTGTTGGTATTTCCTCAATAACATTACACTTGACGCGGAGAAAAATTTATTTCATTCACGATTGTCAGATACAGTAAAGTTATAATCTAACTAAAGTATTAAAAACACATTTAACAGTTTCTGTTGGTCCACTTTATAGGATACTTCATATAACCAATACATTTTGTACACAATGCCGTTTACATTGTATAAGTATTCTATATTTTTTACATTCTATTTTGTTCTACTTCTACTTGTTGTCATGAAATATTTGATGAAGCTTTGGTACTATACACGTATAAATTCATCATAGGTGAACTACCAACTTCGGTTCGTAGACGGTGCTTCACTGGATGCTATAAGTTGGCGAGGAGAGACATCCTCTGGTATAGTGATAGGTTTAGATCCCTATACATGGTATACAGTTGACGTACAACTTCTCACGACGGCAGGGATGGGTCCGAGAGGAGAGGTTTATCATGCTCATACACATAAAGAAGGTGTGTAGTCCTTGCTTCATGTACTGATAATAATTAAACTGTTAATAATTTCGTTAAAAGAATCTTTCTGATATTTTGTATGGTCCAACCTGTATTTCAAGTAGTTTCTTTCAGCCATAATATAGAAGTAACTATATACATTAATTTTACTTGTTCAGCAGAAACATGAGAAAGGTAATCATGCAAACAAAAGTGAACAGGAAGACTATTTTAATGATATATACTGTTGCACTTTTTCCTGTTGTATGTTTATCTGCAATACAATGTTTTTAAAAGTTACCTAGCTTCCTAAGGCAACGTCGGTGGTTTTACTCAGGTGTCCGTTTGTGCCTGAAAAAAGACACAGAGGGGAATATGAAGGCTTCCTCCATCAGTATAGCTGGAAAGTTGCCATATGACCTATACTGTTTTTGTGCGACGAAAAACCCAGCCAAAAAGTCTGTGATATCTGCAATGCATACATAATTAACTGAAACAATGTATACTAGGCCGACCCTACTGACAGTGTCAACATTGCTTTGATATGCACTTTAAATGTCAAAGACGGATGAATAGAAGCATAATATCAAAACGTTTATATTACAGCTCCCATTTTATATCCTACTGAAATCCATGTGTACTCTCATACTTCTCAGAGTGTTAGAATTATCTGGCGAGGAGTAAGTACCACAAGTAAAGAAGAAAATCTGGAGGGATACAAGGTATATTACAATATAATGAAACGATTAAAAAGACATTTCTACAGGCCGCCTTAAGAATAAAGTTGATTTATGTAAAAAGAAATGTTAAAGAAATTAAGAAATGTTGCAAGCGTAGTTGTTTTACTTAATATACAGTGTACCTTGAAGTATGACGCATATTTTGAGACACTATATCCAGTAGCGAACATCTGGTAATTTGAAGCATCAGCACAAAAAAAGAGAAAACAATACTCCATACCATCTTAGGTCTAGAATTTGAATTCAGTTGCTGATGAAATAATTTTGTGAACTTATTAATATCACCATGCATTAATGTGGGAAATAGCAAACTGTGTTTGTCATGTACATTATAATAATTCCAAAGGGAATTTCGAGCCCTTGTCTATTTACTTAAAATAACTAAATTATGTATAAATTTGATACTTGTATTTGTGATGCATGTTGCTTGTCTTGTCGCTATATTAGGACCTTAAAGATGAATAATAAACAAACTGGTACCATGTTCATAGACGTTGAATCACAAAGATCAAAATTTTTATTTCAACATTTCTTCATAGTTTAACTTAAAGGTTATTTTTAAGATTGGAGTAAGATACAATATGATAAATATGACGTGTTATATATCAAGTAAATTTTAAATATTTCAAATGTTGTTGCAGATCCGTTACTGGCCTACCACGGACGATGTTCGTTCGGCAAAAGATGTGATAACAGAAAGGGATGATTCTGAAGCTATTATTCAAGGAATACAAAAAGACATTGTATATGAATGCAGGGTGTTAGGTTTTAGTCGAGGTGGAGATGGGAAACACAGCTATTCTGTTTATTTTACATTAGGTGAGTTTTATTGCTGAAACAACATGTTGACCAATAGGTTCATACAAAGAAATTTGTAAAATCTTGACTTTGGTTAAGGTGTCTAAACTAAACTTTTACAAAAGTCTAATACTCGTTGATAAACAGATAGAACATTTTTATCATAAAAGAGGTCCTTGATATTTATCAACACACCCTTAACCGAAGAAAATGGCAACTTGAATCATACTTTCATTTTTTCACATGTCAACATTGTCTGTTTATGAAGCTTCCAAATTATTTTGTTGTCGAAAGGTTTCTCATGGGGTAACTAGAAAATAATTCATATATCTTTTCAATTGTCTGTTTATATTAACAAAGACATACATTTAATTTGATATTTGATGTCAATGTATCACATAAATTATACAATACAGACAAGAATTTGATTTTTACTTAGATATTTGTATATTATATTTTCAGGAGGGCTTGTGGCATTTGATCCGTCGTCGTCAGAAGTTTTGGCTTCAGCAAATATGTTTTATCCTTCATATGTTAAATGTTTCATTGCACTGATGTTTGTTACTTTGCTTCGTTATTTAGTCTGATAATGCAATTTGATTTCAATAGATCATATCGCCCACAACCATATTCCAAATTTACCATTTCGTGCTTTTTTTCTGTTTGTTCACCTGTATTTTTCTAAATCATATTTTGCCGCCAATATGTAACATTATTGAATTGAGGATGCCATACTTAGATGAAGAATAATTTCTGGGTTTTTTTTCTGGTAACGAATGGATTAAACAAAGCTCCGAAGCATGATATCTTATGCAAACTTAGATTAACATCTTGATATTAGGATATGAGCATCATTACGATAATTGTTTATTTAATTGTTATTGCTGTATCCTTCAAGTGTATAAAAAATTATATATATTTGCTTCAATTTGTAGGTGTAAAGTGTATACAATATAGTTTGAAAAAAAATCATTGTTTGAATTTGAAAAAGAATACTTTCAACATACCTGAATTAAATGGATTTTGATTGTAAAGTGAATGGAGCATTGACGGTATCATTATTATACAAGTACATCCCTAATTAAACAACAGCATAATATTTTGTTCCGGATCATTTTATTGAATTTACGTTCAATTTTCATGTGATATATTCTATATAATAAATTGTTCAATAATGCACCATAAGATTTTGTTACAGTATAATTTTGTTTTTATTAATTTTATAAAAATTGTCTTCAAGATATATTTTATATGCCTACAGTAACGTTAATTAGAATAAAACAAGTGCAACGCACATGCTAGGTAAAACATACTATCAGGTGAACTTTAACATTTTTATTCATCTAATAGTTCAATAATAAAGAAATAAATGAACACATTGGACATTATTCTGCCAGTCAACAATTATACATAACATACATAATTATATCATAACATCCAAACATAAACATCTTTTAATAAAAACATCTAAGAAATATCTGTCAAACGTATATTATACATAAACATAACTGTCTTCCAGTCAAACAATATCGCGTGGGACAAAGTTATATTGAAATACAAATATACAAGTTAACTTATATACATTATTAAAACAATTCATATGAATAATTCAAAAGTATCTGAATTGAATATTACCCGTGAGTTTATGGTATTTTGTGGTATTGCTTTGAAGTTTTCTTTTTGTATTACACACTACCATGTCGGATTTCCATGATAAGTTCACCATACCATTGTCTTATGCAACTGTCTCACTTTTTTATAATAAATGCTAGAACTGAGTCTAGGAATCTCTTACCAATCTGTTAATGAAAATGTTTGTCATGAACAGTAACTATATCTTGTAAGGTTACGTTATGAACAGATTATTTAGCAAATACAACATTCCACATGGCACTATTAGATTAACGTATGCCATACTTTTATATTAAGACTTTTGTTTGTTAATTGTCAACATTTGAACAAAAGACAACTATTGTATATTTGTATGAACATTTTACAAATTCTAAGTTGGTGAAATTTTGTTATTGCAAAACACGTGTCAAAATATTACAACTTTTTGCGTAGTATAAACATTGCTTTCGATTTGAGAATTTTTATGTATTGTACCATATTTCACAAATTTTAATACAAGTATCATTCATCATACAGTCATTGCTAAACCTCTTTCATATACATGTATTTGACATGAAATGTCAATATTTGACATATAATGTCATAATTGTCTACTGCTACTAAACAATATAGTTTAATCTCAGCGTGTTTTTGTCTCTCAATTTTTCCTGTTTGCCTGATGCATTATTTTCACAAAAAGCTACATATACTTGAATGAATATTTACAACAATGAATTATCACAGCGATGCTCCGCATGATAAACACACCCTGCCTCCGCATGATAAACACACCCTGCCTCCGCATGATAAACACACCCTGCCTCCGCATGATAAACACGCACGGCCATTCCATTTATGGTCCTTTAAATGCTATATGCAACTTTCTGACATGTCAACAGGTTCCATTTGATTCATTACCAAAGTATACCATGAAATTTTCAATGTAATTTTGGTCCAATCAGTTTAAATCCATTCTAACCAGTTTCTGTATTGTATTTCGTTATCACTCCTTTACTTCAGATCCGTATCAATCGTGTTTCTATCCAGGAACACTTCATTTTTTCTTTAACAACAATTGTTCAAATCCGTAATTAAATTAGCTGCCATTCGAACTGATTTATCATCTATTTGTCGAATATCTTATCCTTTAATTACATTATATCTCCATTGATATCACTCTTGTACAGTGCATATCATTTACTGTCAACATCAATAAACTTCCTGGTCCTTTAAATCAAATTTTTATTTGAAACGTATCTATCTACAATTTCCATTTCTTGCAGTTATTCGTCATGAATGTCACTTTTTGTGTTTACATCCAAATTTCAATAAATTTTTCTTTATGATCCAAAGGTTTACATTTTCTTTTGCTTAATCACTTTTTGTTTTACTTTTATCACCTTAAGGCTTTTGTCCAATCGTAATGATCTGTGAGAAAAGCTATGATACAGAAAAACACAGTTATGTTTACTGAAGCACCAATTGTTGTTGCGGAAGACACTTGTTGTTTTTGAGTTGTTGTTGGCGGTGTTGTTGTATGTTGGTATGGTGTCGATACGAACATTCTATCTACAACATGAATGACGCCATTTGTTGCTAGAATATTTGGACGAACTATTTTCGCTTCAACCTTTTCCCATCTGAGGTAGAACGCTGAAATATAGCAGTGATGATTCAGTAACCCTTTTATTGCCAATAATTATCAAGGGGTAAAATGCATAAAAAATTACTGTCCTTAAAATAATAATTTTATTCATTTTTATATTCAGGCCTAAAAATGCGCATAACAACTGCTAAACAATTTGAATAATTATATGATGAACTATTTATAACACGTTTGTAGAGAAAAAAAAATAGCACTTTTTTCTTTAAATCAAGCAAACCAAATATCCATTAGATATATACTAAACATTTGTTTCAGATGACAACAATTTTGGTAACAACTAACCATCTGTCTTTGAAATGACGGATATATTTCTGTCATACGCATGTCTTGTGTATCCACCTGCCATTATGTCACGGTAGTCAATCTGTTGCCCTATCACAGTGTGTCTGTGGACAATCTAGAGATATGAAAAACAGTAGAACGTTACAGTTTACTTTAGCAATTTAGTTATAATTTATGACAATGAAGGCTAAAATCTAACACAAATAACTAACACAAAAAGTCAATACACAAATCGCTTACTATGGTATGACAGCTCGGTCACTTTATGTCCCTTTGCTTGTTGATTTAAACATCACAGCAATATGCATTATACAATATAATTTGAAATTAAATGTAATAATATAATAATAATAATAAAGACTTTATTTAAAGAGGCAACAAAGTTGGGCATGCCGCAGTCTTCCCTATGAGCCTCTTTAATGCTATTCTAATGTATATAAGAGATCAACATTTCTTTAATTGAAACAAAATTACTGACCTCCATCCTTTCATCAAAGGTGAGATTTTTATTGATGTATTCAATATCATTAAGTGTTAGATACTGGAACGAATCATCATCCGGAACGAAGACGGTAAATACTGTATTCTTTGACGTCAGGTCGATACTAGCATTGCTTGGAATCAACTTTAACAATTGATCTGTTCCAATTCTAAAAAACACGTACTTTTGTGTATTCATATTTCAGAACAGGTACAAAAATGTAAACGATAAATGCATTTCATAATTAGAGTTGCTATCGAGTGAACTGGCACTGAGACGGTAACAAATGATTAATCAAAATCGCATAGCATAAATAACAGTTGGTCTCACTGGAAAGTCTAAAGTCTAAAGTCACCAATATTGGATCATATGACATAATTTGTTGGTTACATTTTAGCTCTTTTATATAGAAATTCCTTAAATTACTTAAAGATGGTTGTTTGAAATTATAAGATATACAAGACCACTGCACATATTCGACATTGTTAGGGTTACCAATATAAGAAAAAAACCAGAAAGGAAGCAGGGATCGCAGCATGCATACCTATATGCATCTATAAACTTAAAATACATAATTATTTGGTGTGTGGCTGCATCTGTAAATAAACTGTCCAAATATCTGTCCAAATGTTATTCAAAAATCTTAACTCAATACTTATTTAATCAATATACACTTTCAGCATAAGTTTTAATAGACATGTTATTTTATAATCGTTAAGATATCGTTTAGTAAGTTTACTTACCCTATTTTCGGCTGTTGTTGTAATTCGGCTAATGTATTATATAGAGGATAATTTAGGAATCCATTGATGGTATAGATTATACCATTGCTACATGCATATCCATCAAAAACAAGGTCAAATTTTTGTACAAGGTTTGTATAGCCTGTATCCACAGACACCAGCTCTGTAACAATAAAATGACAAGAGTTATAACAATTTACAGCTTAATCAATTAATTAACTAATTTGTTTATGTATTTATTTATTTATTTATTTATGTATGCTTAACAAACCATCTTTAAAATCTTATTAACACATATTTGTCCTTTAAATAAAAGACAAAAATCATTTCTGAGGGATGATATTCCTTTTACAAAAGTAATGCATAACACTGCTTTGATTTTAAAGTTAATTACCCTAATGAATTACAAATATATAAGTTTTGTACATCTGTTTCTGTAAACTTAATAAGCTTTGGTAAGCTTAGGGTTTGCTCCGTTACCTACAGTTATGCTAGTACGATTTGCACCACTGACGAGCCCTCCCATTACGACTGACTCCTCCCATAATGACACGCCCCAATTAAGTTAAGAATTTCCCTCATTAATGCATGAATACTTACCAGATCTGTTTGATGTATCAAGGTCTATAAACGTGAACGTGTTATCATATCTGTTCTCGGTGAGATACATTCTACTTGAACGGAAAACATATTCCATAAACCCTTGATTTAACGTAGATGCCGGGATCATGTGACTTTCATAAAGCTGAAATAAGATATTGGCAGTCTATATAAATATGTGTATAATATATATTGCACTACTGAAAACCATTATGCATAACTTTGTGTAATTTCCATTATTGCGCTATCATTACTGTAGAATATTATGTACAAAACTGAAATAAGATCGTTTTATCACAAAAAAAGTGTTTTTCACTTACATCTAAGTCAATAAAGTCCTTCTTTCAACCATTTCAAAACTATATAGATGCTATAGCAACATATCTATTCATAACTAGCCTCTTCGTACTAATGAATGGAATACACAATAACAAGTTCAATAAATGAACTCTAAACAATTGTATTAATTTATTATAAATTATTTTGTTTTAGCTTGTTTTGATAGAAATGTTAAAATAAATGATTGGGTGTCTCTTTTTGCATTACGTTTGTCATGTCTGTATGTCGTTTAAAAATGTATAAAAACATGTACCCCAGTGGCATTTAAATGTGTTAATCTACTTTCTCATTTTAAATAATGATATATTTTCAAATTTAAATCGTTTTTGCAGCCACTACTTTCATGGTGAAATCATATACATTTTAATTATTATCATTACAATATTAAAACAGGATATTGTAAATGAAGACACTGGCACGTATGCCACGACAGTTGGTTCGGAATACTTCTATATGTTGTATGAAGTTAAAGTTTCAGCCTTCAACGAGTTAGGTGACGGCCCTGTATCACCTGAAGGTGTTTACATCTACTCAGCCGAGGAAAGTATGAGCCTTATTTTGTTTAAATCTTTATAAAAAGAATTCTAACACGCTCTACACTATTCCCATATGAAACAGATAGGGCGATCAAGTGCATTATTGCACGATATCTGCACAGCATAAAAAGAATGCTTACACGTCAAATGACATCAGCAAGCCAAATTACGTCAGGAAAATTACTTATACATTTACAAGTATCAATTTTCTTTTTTTAAGGACATGTTAGAATGGAAATAGATATTTTTTGCATTATAGTATAATAATGCACAATGTATCGTTTTAATGCTTTGCAATTAATCACAAAGGCATGTCGGCTTTCGTGATTAAATTTTCAGCGCATTTGAATTGGACAGTACATTATTCTACAACAATGCACTCGCAATTTCCTATTTAGAATCTACTTCGTTCATATGTTTAATATAATACTATGATTACAATAATAACTGGCGTGATATGTTGATACAATTATCCTTCTTTAATAATGGTATTGTATATTTGATTTCAAACAAGATAACCTTTATTTGCCAGTAAAAGTTATCTCTTAATATCTTATTTAAACCGTGTTCTTTAAAGTCTGTTTTTCATATATACATTGTAGATATAGTGCTAATATTTCATTTAATCATGTGATTTAGCTGACCAAAGTGATCAAATACGTGCACACTTAAATAAGATGTATCAACACTTTAAAACAGAAATATAAACTGGAAGGTGTTTTGTGATTCATAGTCGTTATATGTAACAACAATGTGTCAAGCATGTCAGGTTTTAAAAGAGATTTCATAACTAATTAAGTATACTGCATACTTGTTGTCTGAATCTAAACTAAAAGATAATTTAGAAATTTGTAGCATTTACGTTATGAAAATAAAATATACGTGTCCAATGTCCTGCAGTGTTTAAAAAATGATATGTGACATTTCTATGAAAAGTGGATTAGATATATTTATTAAATGTAAGATGGGTTTTTGTTTACATGTTGCCCAATTATTCACAGTGCCAATAGGAGTTGCAAGAAACGTGTATGCATTTGCCCACAACTGTACGGCATTAGAGGTCACGTGGGATGTTATACCAAACGACAGGGAACATATGAGAGGGAAGCTTCTCGGATGTCAAGTAATGTTTATGTGTTGATTAATTTGTATTCTCTTTAAATAAGTTCGTTGCATGCCCCGTTGCGTCCCTTATCGGTGGTCCTGTGTATTGTTTGGCTTCGTCCAATGAACTCTATCTCCCTTTTCTTGTTGGTATTTCTTTAATAACATTACACTTGACGCGGAGAAAAATTTATTTCATTCACGATTGTCAGATACAGTAAAGTTATAATCTTATTAATTTATTTTGAAAAAACCCCACATTTAACAGTTTGTGTTGGTCAATTTTATAGGATACTTCATATAACCAATATGTTTTGAATGATATGAGTTTACAAAATGTCGTTTACATTGAATTAATATTATATATTTCATTATATTCTATTTTGTCCTACTTGTACTTGTTATTGTCGTCATGAAATATTTGATGAAGCTATGGTGTTTAACTAGTATAATTTCATCAAAGGTGAACTACCAACTTCGGTTCGTAGACGGTGCTTCACTGGATGCAATAAGTTGGCGAGGAGAGACATCCTCTGGTATAGTGATAGGTTTGGATCCCTATACATGGTATACAGTTGACGTACAACTTCTCACGACGGCAGGGATGGGTCCGAGAGGAGAGGTTTATCATGCTCATACACATAAAGAAGGTGTATAGTCTTTGCTTCATGTACACCAAACTGTTAATAATGTCGTTAATTTCGTTAAAAGAATCTTTCTGATATTTTGTATGGTCCATCCTGTATTTCAAGTAGTTTCTTTTAGCCATAATATAGAAGTAACTATATACATAACATTTACTTGTTCCTAATAATATATACTGTTGCACTAATTATTGCTGTATGTTTATCTGCAATACAATGTTTCTGAAGTTATCTAGCATGCTTAGGAAACCTCGGTGGCTTTACTCAGGTGCCGGTTGTGCCTGAAATAGAGCATAGAGGGGCATATGAAGCCTTCCTCTACCAGTAAAGCTGCAAAGTTGCCATATGACCTATACTGTTTTTGTGCGACGTAAAACCCAACCAAAAAAGTTTCTGATACCTGCAATGCATACATAAGTAACTGAAAAAATGTATATGAGACTGACCCTACTGACAGTGTTAATTTTGATTTGGTATGTACTTGTACTTGGAATGTCAAAGACGGATAAACAGAGGAATAATATCAAAACGTTTATATTACAGCCCCTATTTTATATCCTACTGAAATCCATGTGTACTCTCACACGTCCCAGAGTGTTAGAATTATCTGGTGAGGTGTAAGTACCACAAGTAAAGAAGAAAATCTCGAGGGATACAAGGTACATTACTATATATCTAAACGATTAAAAAGACATTTAGACATGCCGCCTAAAGAATAAAGTTAACCTTTGTAAAAAGATATGTTTTAAAAATTTAGTAATGTTGTAAGGTACTTAATCTACCTTTTAAAGTTGACGCATATTTTGATAAACTTTATGCATTAGCCATCAATGCAGACAGAACATCTTTAATAATATAATTTGAAGCATGAACAGATAAGAATACAATACTCCATACCACCAGGCTAAGGTCTAGAATGTGAATTCAATGGCTGATGAAACGATTTATTAACTTCCTATTTATATAATCGTGACTAACCTGATATCATGTTCATAAAAATGGAATGGTAATGATCAAAATTTATATTTCAACATTTCTCCATAAACATTAAGTGTTATGTGTAAGATAACAGTATCATAAAGTACACGTTAGATGTTTTTTTATATCAAATCATTAAAAAAATCTTAAATGTTAATACAGATCCGTTTCTGGCCGACAACGGACGATGTTCGTTCGGCAAAAGATGTTATAACAGAAAGGGATGATTCTGAAGCTATTATTCAAGGAATACAAAAAGACATTGTATATGAATGCAGGGTTTTAGGTTTTAGTCGAGGTGGAGATGGGAAACACAGCTATTCTGTTTATTTTACATTAGGTGAGTTATTTTTAAAACCACTTGTTGACCAGTAACAATGACCTTGGGTTCATACAAAGTTTGTAATGATTGACTTTTCTAAACGAAACGTTTAGACGAGCTTAATACTTGTTGAAAACAGATAGGACATTTTTATCATAAAATAGGTCCTTGATATTTATCAACATATCCTGAACCGAGGAAAACGACAACTTGAATCATACTTTCACTTTTATAACATGTCAACATTGTCTGTTTATGAAGCTTCCGTATTATTCTGTGGTCGATAAGTTTCTCAAAGGGTAACTAGAAAAGAATTCCTACATCTCTTGAATTGTTTACTGAGTATTTAAACAAATACATACATTTAATTTGATATTTCATGACAATGTATCACATAAATAGTACAATACTATGGAAGCGTCGTAGTGCCAAACCTGAAATATTTTTATCTCTTAATAAGTAGATACTAAGTTATAATTAGTCGATAATATGTCATAATTAGTAGATAGTAAGTACTAATTATTAGATAGTAAGTTATAATTAGTCGATAATATGTCATAATTAGTAGATAGTAAGTACTAATTATTAGATAGTAAGTGATAATTAGTAAATAGTAAGTACTAATTAGTAGATAGTAAGTGCTAATTAGTAGATAGTAAGTTATAATTAGTAGATACTAAGTCATAATTAGTTGATAGTAAGTACTAATTATTAGATAGTAAGTTATAATTAGTAGATACTAAGTCATAATTAGTTGATAGTAAGTACTAATTATTAGATAGTAAGTTATAATTAGTAGATAGTAAGTACTAATTAGTACATATTTAGTAATAATTATTAGATAGTTAGTACTAATAAGTAAATGCTAAGTCATAATTAGTAGATACTAAGTCATAAATAGTAGATAGTAAGTGCTAATTAGTAGATAGTAAGTTATAATTAGTAGATACTAAGTCATAATTAGTTGATAGTAAGTACTAATTATTAGATAGTAAGTTATAATTAGTAGATACTAAGTCATAATTAGTTGATAGTAAGTACTAATTATTATGACTTAGTATCTACTAATTAGCACTTACTATCTAATAATTAGCACTTACTATCTACTAATTATGACTTAGTATCTACTAATTAGTACTTACAATATATACTAATTATGACATAGTATCTATTAATTAGTACTTACTATCTACTAATTATGACTTATTATGTTCTAATTAGT